TAAAATAGTGAGATAATTGTCTATTATCTCATTGGGTTGTGAAAAAAGTAACTAAGAAGGATAAGAAAGCTTTTCTGTGTGTGTTCTCTTGGGTGAAAAACAAACAGACCTGTAAGGGAGAAGAATAGAAGCTGATTCTATGGTTTCTATTTGAAATCTTGCTGTTGTGTTAATTCATCTTCATCTACATGAAAATAATGTGAGTTTAAATTATCAACTTTCCTTATTTGGTATTTGAATAGTATGGTTCTAACATGGGGATGATGATAAAATTGTTTTTAGATGCTATTTTAGCATGATGGTGAGACTGTGTATGAAACCGTATGGTTCTTTATATGAGTTATTGTTATGAAACTGTTTTGATGCCATTATTAACAAAATGATGGTTTTTGACATGATTATATCATGTGTTGAAATAAGGATGACATAATCAGGAGCTAGGTAAATTTGTAATAAGGGTGGCATAATCAGGAGTTGGGTAAATTTGTAATAAGGGTTGCATAATCAGAAGCTGAAGATATTGGGATAAAGGTGACATAATCTATTTTTTTGAAATGATGATCTTTTTGATCATGGGGTTCTATTATCACATCCTTATGATGCAATGATCTTGAGTTATCACATATGTGTGATGCGAGGACTTTGGTTGTCGCATCCTATTGATGTGATGAAATGAATTGTTTTTATATTCAGAGGAGCTCTGGTTGGCTTGGCCTCTGGATGGCCTTACTTTTGGTTGTTCATTTGAACCTTGGAAAAATATTCCAATCCATGATAAAGGAACCATAGGGGCTCTGGTTGATCTTCATGTTTAACCAGAGGGTCTTTGGTTGTAATTGGAACTCAAATTCTTTAAGTATTTAAAATTTATTAACCTAGAGGTTTTGGATAGACGAACCAAAGGCTTTGGTTGATTAGAGGAACTTTGGTTGGTAAGACCAGAGGGCCTCTGGTTGGCCCTTGCTTTTATTTGGCATTGTTTTTGGTTGACCTTTCTATGGTTGGTAGGACCAGAGGATCTCTGGTTGGTCTTGCTCTATATGATGCAAGTTTTACCCATGAAGTATAACTCTGAAGAATGACTCTTTAGACTTATAACTCTAAAGTATATTTTGAAGTATAACTCTAAATAATGACTCTTCAGATTTGTAACTCTTAAATATTTTTCATCTGAAGTCTGAAGTCTTCTTTTTCACACTTAGCTTACCCGAAGTCTGAAGTCTTCTTTAGATCTCTGAAGATAAGTCTGCAGACTTCCATACTTGGCCCAAATTGCTTTAATAAAATCTTTCATGATATTTAGGACAATTCTGGTCCTAACAATTGGTATTACAATATGGATTTATAACTTGACTTGGTGATTTTCACCCTGTAATTGTATCAAAGAGATTTCTCAGTAGACCTCAAGGTTTAACGCTCATTTTGTGTTTCGAAAATGTGTATTACAGGTCGGGCTCAATCAAAGGTTAAGAGAAAAGGGAAATTGTGAGATGTCTTATATGCTATCTTGGGATGTGGAGGACAACATGCTTATCTATGGTCTTTTTGAAATACTTGTTATATGTACAAGTTTTGTATATGGATTTTGTGGAAAAAAAATTGTTAGCTACTTTATAATGTAACTTTTGTATATTTGGGACCGAATATGCAAATTAGTATTTTCTTAACATATGAAATACTTGAGTATATGCAAAATGTGATTCTGGGGTGTTACATATTATGTGTGTATGTTATCGCGAACTCATATTATATTCACTAAGCTTTTAGCTTTTAGCTTATACTATACATGTATATATATCAGGTGTCGATTGTCATTAGACAGTTCGAATAAAGAAAGATGAGACTATGTTTTGAATCATGCTTGATTAGATATTTTAATTAGCATTGATTACATTAAAGTATTTTACACTTCCGTAATTATGTAACGAATTATATCAAACACCTTATGTATGTTTGAAAATTTTAAGTTCGTATTTCGTTCATGACATAAGTTATTAAGAATGACGTCACGTCACTCGAAAGAAAAAAAATCGGGGCGTGAAAATGACCCGGTGTCAAATTTCAAGGAAATTGACACAAACTATACATGACTATATGATCTTGCGTTAGTCATTTTGTTAATATTTTTGTCCTATGGTAAACTTTTATTTTCTTTCACTTGTAAGTTATGATAACTTATTTCGCATGATCTATTGGATTGAAACTCATTTCATTATTAACTGCTTTATAAATTCTAGTTCTGTTATGGTCCAATAATTTTATGATATTAAATACCTGAATATTTATTCATGTTTATGAATTGTGGATATCATAAAATTTATGGATATGCATACCGACAAGAAAGTGACTATTGTATTATTAATTTGTCTGTAGTGTCAATACGAAATTATTGATATATTGTAATACTTTATGATGTTCCCCTGAATTAAAAAAAATGAAGTCTTTGGATGCAAGAAGAAAGAATTGTATATAGTAAGTCAAGTCATTTAAGATGGCAACGAAGACAGTTTTTGAGTGATTTGTGAACGATTATATACAGGTATAGTTTGCCATAAAATGAATATCATATATGGGGGTGACCAGCTACTTGATTTCACCGATGTTTTCTTTGACACGATTCATTTAGTTGTGTCAGTATATGAATTACAAGTTATGTATCAGCATTGATTATTCTTATGAAACATTATCGCTTTATTGATTTTCCCATTATGTTGATGTTATACATTTCACACCCAAATTCTCATACCACTGGTGCATAATTGTATTTCACAAGCCAGTGGCCTTCTCATAAACAATAAAAGCGTTTATTGCAAACAAAAAAGGTACATATTTTAAAGATTTTTTCTCTGTATAAAATATTCATGTCATGCATAACCTAGGCAACTGTTCTAAAAAGTCTGTATAACGAGTACGGATAAATCTAATAAGTGAAGACACATCAAATTGTTCTTATAACTAATATTCTCTAGTTTGAGGTGATGTAGGTTTAGGCAACGTATACCACTCAAAACTATTAAAACCCTATATCTGATTAACATGTAACAAAAAAATAAACGATATAAACAGTATCTGTAAATTACGTCAAAAAATAACTGAATAAGAATTTGCAGTAATCGTTTATATAAATTTTATATGTATATGTTAATAGTTAGAAGCGATCTTTCTTGATCTTAATGCATGTATGTCGACATGCCACATTTTCATGATTTGTTACCATATGATAGGATTAGGGTTAACATCCTTATAAATCTATAAAAATATAAATTAATCGGAAAAATTTACAAAGTCGCTCAATATAAAACGAATAATTAAAACATGACAAAAAAGATAATATCTAGTATTCAAATTACCACTATGATCATACACATATTGAAAACAATCATGATTAGTGTCGTTACTTAAGTTTCTCTTTTTGGTAAATTATCCAATTGAATGATCGTATTTTCTTGTTACGCAAGAAAGTTCGTAATGGTCCAAATTTATAAAACAAATAGTCTGACGTCCTTTTGAAATACACATTTGGATAATGTTTTTATATTTAAAATACACTTCTTATAATGTTATTAATACCCGTTGGGCAAACTTCATGCAATGATCTATCAATTATTTTTCATATGTTCTAAATCTGAACTTTATTCGTCCGTAAAACTGCAAACTCTGCTCATTTTGTAAGATTCGAACGCAAATTCATCCATCTGTTAAAAAAGTCAAAATAATCAGGTGTATATAAATATAATAAAAATTGTTTTAAGAATTTTAAATAAACGTAAAATTACCGATTTATCTTTTAGCTAAGGCATTTCTAATAAAATATCTAAAACGTAGAAAATTAAGACGATGATGTTTTTGTTGCTCTAAAAGACACATTTTTCATAACGTGGAAAAGATAAAAAAGAAAAACCTTTTTCCACGTTTGAAAAAAAAGAAGAAATATTTAAAATTAATATTTGAGCAAGAGAGAAAATAAATTAATAATCTTTTTATCTATACTATATTATAAAGTATTTGACAAAAACTTTTAAAAACACATAAAGTTTGTTTATTAATGTATGTTATTTAAAACTGAAGATTACAAGTAGATTGTGCGAAAGTTAACTTATTAAAGCTCCATATCTGCATTCGTGTAACTAACTGCAGATAAATATAATCAAATACAGGATAAACATCTCATTTTAAATATAAAAATCTAAAATATAATTAGGATAATCATTGAGTTCTAACATAATACTTAATTATTATCTTTATAAAATGTTATATTATTAAACCAAAAATAAATTATTTCATTATTAAACTTAAATTAAATTACAATAAAAAATTTAAAGAAATTATATAAAATTGAGAACTTTTAAATAGTTGATTTGATATTAACATTGATATATATATATATATATATATATATTTTTTTTTTCAAAATTTTATGATATTTTTAAATTTATATTTTATTCAAAAATAAAATAATTATTGTTGTATTAAAAACACATAAAATCGTATTATAATATCGACAGAGACAAAGAATAAAATAGAACATTAAAATCAAAATATATCTCATTGTATTATACGATTACACTTCTAGTTTATTTTAAAAGGAGAGAGAAAGAAGAATAATTTTATTTTATAGAAAGTTTGTTGAAATATTAAATCTATTAAATATAATTAATGCTACAATTTTAAAAGTAAAAAAGTACTTAATTTTGATATAATTTTTTTAAAAAGATTTAAATATTCTTTTTATATTTAAAAAAATTATGGAAAAACTATTAAAATTATTCTAATATTGTTTATTTGATTTTTTTATCACAATAAATAATTTTACATCTAAATATTTTTCCTTAAAAGTAACATTTATTAGTTTTTAATATTATTGGTGATTGGTGAAATATATGTGGGTCGGGTTCGGATACTGTTGTTCAAACCCCCAAAATCTACCCGGCCCCCACGCCTTTGCCCTATAAAACCTAATTCATGGCGCTCCCCAATCCATCAGATTCACAGGCAGAATTTTCATTTTGGATTCCCAACTACAGCACATTTCTCTCCTTCGCTCCTAGTTTTGCTCTATCGAGTTTGAATCAGCAATTTCGCACGTTCAATCGGTGTGTATACCTTCCTTTCTATATACATGAATTGAATTTGTATATTAGTTGATTAATCAGCTTGACATTTACAAGAATTTAGCTTAATGACTTGATCATTCATTGATTATCCCTCCCCTGTCTTAAGATCATTAGTTTTTTGGAAACCCAGATCTAAATATCATCGATTGTTTGTGTTTATGTTTCTCTGTTAGGTTTCTTTTGGGGCTAGGGTACTTATGTATGTCGTCTTTATGCACTGTTACTTGTGGAAAACAATTCAGACTGTTCATTAGTGTGATAATTGAGTGTGCTAGGGTTGTATTTGTTGATATGCATACACAGTATACTCCAGATGAATGTGACAGAATTGGATCATGGGAGTTGGATATCTTTATGAATCAAGCTAGGTATTTTTGGTTCAACTTATACGAATCTGTTCATATCCTAATCTATATAGGGTTATGCCATTTACAATGCTCTATAATCTCACTTATCAAACTTTGATGACTATTATGTCGTTGTATGCAATCCTATTACTCTTGTTGCTTTGTTTGAGGTTGTAAAGTTGATTTGAATGTTTGTTTCTTCCTTTCGGTTTGCATGGTAACCTAATTATGAGGGCTTGCTAATATACTTTTCATAGAAAGAGCATTACTTGTGCTAGAGAAGATAAAAGAAGTCTATTAATCACAGTTATAATTTGGTTTTATAATTTTGTATAATCTTGTGCTTTCCTTAACATACGTCTCATTGAAGTTTTTTCCCTTAAATTTGCTTGCAGAGTCTATTTGGTTTGCATTTATTCTGAAGATTCAAAGGTTTAAGGTGTTTTTTCATTAGTGAAAGGTGGATCTTACTCGAGATTTGTTTATGTAAGCGAGAAATGGGTTCTAGAGAAAAGCCATTATTTGATCTTAATGAACCTGCTGTGGAGGAGGAAGATAGCGGCTCTGCCATCTGCTTCCCGCCCCTGGCAGTTGCCTCAACTGTCGACACTTCTAAATTATTTACGACATCCGCTAGTCCTAATAGAACAGTAAATAGCAACGTCATTTCTCATCCTTCTTCTGTTTCGGGCTTGCAGCCTTTCATTCGGTCAAAAGGAGACTTGGCATCTGAAGGCGGTGAAGATCCGAAGATGGAAACTGATACCAGCTCTGTCATTGAAAAGGAAGAAGGTGAATGGTCTGATGTTGAGGGCTCTGCTGATGCGAACAGAAGCCGTAGTGTGCCTGAAATGTCAACTTCTGGCTATGATGATAAATCACAGGTGAAAAAAACGACTAAAATGATGAATCAAAGTGATTCTAATATGGCTGCAGTAGTAAACTCATCTTCAAATGTCGATGACATTAAGAATGAAAACAGTAATCATGCTCTTTTAGGACTTGACTCTGATTCGAATTATAGGAAAAGTAGTTGTAGCCGAAATTCAGAAGGTGATATTGCAATATATAATCAAGAAGATTATACCTTGGCTCCGAAGAGAAGAGATATTAAAGGAGCTGAAGCAACTCATGCTTTAAAGCTTGCAACTAGCCCTGGAAAGCGGTCTAAACTTGACCAACAAAAGGAAGCAATGTTAGGTAAAAAACGGAGTAGGCAAACCATGTTTCTTAATTTGGAAGATGTTAAGCAAGCAGGACCTGCTAAGCAAGTGGGACCCATTAAAATTGCGACCCCTAGAAGGCAGTACATTCCACCACCCACCACAACAGGTATTGTGAAAGAGTCACGGCCTCTTCTTGACTCCTCGGAGCGTAGCGGAGAAAAGCTATCACAACAGACAACGACGAAGGATTCAAAAGAGGTTGATCAGTCATGCAATGAAGGAAACACTTATCTGGAGTCTAGTGATACCAAATCTGAATGCGATGATGGTGATATGAGTTCAGGGCCCATAACTCGTTCTAAAAGGAGAAATAATGGAAAGGATCCTGCTACAGAGGATAGACCACTTTCAGATCATAGGCAGAATTCTTTGAAGCAGCCAGTTGATTCAAGGCAGATGAAGCATCCACCTGTTTCTTTAAAAAAGCCACCTCCAATCAGTCAAACCCCTGTTGATCCCAAAGCAGGAGTTAAAAAGCTTCCCTCCAGGAAGCCATCAACTGTCACCACTCAGTATCAGGATACATCAGTGGAGCGTCTTCTGCGTGAGGTGACTAACGAGAAGTTCTGGCAGCATCCAGGTATTATTTTTTACAACTTACTTTCTCGAACTCTGATATACTTGATGTGAAATTATTTGGTGACATCTATTACTTTCTTCTTGTTGTTGTTATAGCAAGTTTCGTCTACTGCTCCACTCTAGCAACCTTAGCACATTAGTTTGTCCCAAGGGATGTTGGAGGAGTTGAACTTACCAATTCACAATCAGTGTGAACTTTGTGATTAACTGAGCAACCCTTTGAATAATATTTGTATTTCTTTTCTCTTGTTTGCCGGGATCTAGCTTAGACCCAACAAATGGTATAACTATATGATGATTAAATTTTGGGTATGTTTAGCCACGTTAGTTGCATACATTAGAGGAGGTTAATGGATCTCTTTCCTGTCCTGTTTGGTCCACTTCTCGTTACATCATAAACATATTTCTATAGAATATGGTAAGATGTGTATATGGTTCACCAACCTGTTTTACGATGTGTTAGAACTCCCTTGCCACTCGTGTAGATTTAGGCACTGTCAATTCTCTTTATTGTAAGCTAGCGCAAGAGCACTTATGCTACTTCTCTGTAAAGCAAAAGAGACTAAGAGAAGGGAAATAATTCCAAAAAGGAAGATTATATTCCAAAAAGAGATTTATTCTTTTTGTGCCTTAATGACTGCTACCCATTAGCTTCGGGAAGGAGTGATTTGTAGGAGAGTATGACTTGGGTACTTCTTTTCTCACTCTCTTCCATTTGATTTCTTCAATTAAATTTATACTCGTAGGTCCCTTTGAAGGTTTGTGTGTTAAAGAAAGTCACTATTTTATGGAAAGCTAATCTCGGTACTTATTCAATTTAGACCAAAGTGGAGACCTTGTACTAGCAAAACATAAGCCAGCAGTTGACTGGTGAGGTTTTGACTTTTGTGTTGCCAAAATTAAAAAGAAACCATAAAGCAGGTTGTCTGCATTTAAGCCTGTGATTCCTGTCTCGTTCTCATTGCTACTCCAAATTCCTGTTCCAAGTCGTTCACATATAATTGAAAGAAGTAGAGATATTGGGGTGGATCATGAATTAATCTACATCAATAACTTTCATCAAGTGAAATGCTATTGTTCTTAGATCAGTTAGTTATTGTTGGTGGTGGAGTTTAAATATGGGATTAAATACAACCCTTTAACTCATGGTCTTGTAATCGGGTGTGGTCTTGCCCTTTAGTGTCTTGTTTTTTTTTGTGTGTGTGTGTATGTATATATTGTAGGTTTCTTAGTCTTACAAGCTGCCCTAGCATGCTTAGTTTTGCCGAGTTGCTGTTTCACATCTCTTGAGATCAGAGCTGTTCCTGGAAGGAAACTATTCTTGATTTAAACATTAAATGACTATTATGATGCTCAACTCATGCTACTATTTTGGGAAGCTGGGAGGATAAGTCATTCTATGAGGATAGTGTATTTATAGGATTCAAGCAAAAAAGGGGCTAACAATGCCTTACTCAAAAAGGGAAAAAAGAAGAGGATATCGAGAGAATCATGAATTGATATGATCAAGAACACAATGAATGACACTTCTTGTCTTCTAGATTCCTGACGTTAGATGATGTGATTACGTTGAAGAATGTATTTATTTTATTGTTCACTAAAATTTATTTCCACTTGTGCCACTTGCTAATGAGTGATAACCCTCTTGTGCAATTTGTACTGAATCTTACGATACAATTTGCCATTCACTGGTTTAGGGTGGATTCAATAACAATTCACGATTTAACAATTGTGGTTGTATTAGTTATTGAATAAATGGTAATGTTTGTATTGCTCAGGCCCACGCATAGCAGAGGGGATCCCTGCAGCTTCATGTGGTGGGAGTCCAACTTTCACGAGAGCCTGTTGAATGGAAGAAAATTCCTCGCTTACTTGCTTTTTATAGTAATGAGCTATAATCTGTACGATCTTCTACAGAGAGCTTGTGCCAACTAACATGATTAGTTTAGGATATAAATCCCAGTTTTATTCGCTTTCTTTTTAGTAGTAATCTAGTGAAGAATGTGTATTCTTTATCCATTTTCCTTAACCGGTTCACATTTAGTTTCTGGACCTCTGCTTTTTTTTTTCTTTCTCATGTAATAAAAAAACTCAAAATTTTGGACATTCAGAGGAGGCGGAGCTTAAATGTGTTCCAGGAAGCTTTGAATCAGTAGAAGAGTATGTTCGAGTATTTGAGCCCTTGCTTTTTGAGGAATGCCGGGCACAGCTCTACAGTACCTGGGAGGAATTAACCGAAACATCAACTAGAGATTTGCATACAGCGGTCCGCATACGAAGTGTTGAGAGGCGAGAAAGAGGTATATAGATTTGTATATATAGATTAGGGGAAAGTTCATTTAGAAACCGCAAATATTTTGAAAACCGAGGAACTAAATATAGTCATAATGAATGCACATTAATATACATGAATATTAATGATGAATAATGATATTCATGCTGAATATTTGGTTTACAGTTCTTTAAATATTTACGGTTCTCAAATGAACCTGCCCCATATAGATTATGTATATTTATATAATATTGTATGTGGATTTTAATTAATTAAATTCTATAATTTTGTGTGCGGTCACAGGATGGTACGATGTGATACTTCTACCTGCAAGTGAATCCAGATGGAATTTCAAAGAGGGTGATGTTGCAGTTCTTTCAACTCCTAGACCTGGAACAGGTCTGTTAACATTTCTTATATTCACGCAATAAAAATAGTCGTTTTCAAGCTACTGAAGGAAAATATGTTTCTTTTTATGCAGTCAGATATAAGAGAAGTAATTGTTCAACAATTCCAGAGGAATCCGAGGTCTGTGGACGTGTGGCTGGTACCGTGAGACGTCACATACCAATAGATACGCGTGATCCTATAGGGGCCATCCTTCATTTTTATGTTGGGGATTCTTACGATTCTAGCAGGTTCAAAATCTTGACCTCTTTTAATTAATCTTTTCTTGTTTATTTGAAATCTTGTAGCAATAAAGATTTTTCCTGTTTTTAATAATTACAGCAAGGATGATGATGATCATATTTTAAAGAAATTACACCAGAAGGGGGTCTGGTTTCTAACTGTTCTTGGTGCATTAGCTACAACCCAGAGAGAGTATGTTGCATTGCATGCCTTTCGTAGACTCAATTCACAGGTGGGTTCTAAATTTGAGTGGAAATTCTTGAAAAGTTTGTTCGGTTTGCAAGATTCCTATGGAATTTGAAGGAGTCGGAATGGAAAATTCGTTGACCAAATTCCATTCAGCTTGGTTTGCACATGGAATGGAATTGAATTCCTTAGATTCCACCATTCACGGATTTCATCATTCCATTGCATATGTGATGGAATCAAAATCCATTCCTATCCAATTTTTTCAAAAATATACAACCCCCAAAAAAGGTAGCCTACTTGTTATATATGCCTACTCGTTGCCTTTGGACTCTCGATCCTTCATTGCAACCACCACCACTGTGTCCACCCAATTCCAATTCCTTTGAGAGATTCCATTCGAAATCCTGCCAACCAAATGCCTGATCAAACTTCATTGAATTTCCATTCCAATTCCTTCAAATTCCAATTCCACCAAATTCCATGGTTCTAACCAAACTTCCCATAGGATAATTTCTTGCAGTTTTATGTTCTTATGAAGTGCTGATTGATTGATATTATTTTCTGTAGATGCAAACTGCGATTCTTCAACCGAGTCCAGATCATTTCCCCAAATATGAGGAAATGGCGCCCACCATGCCCGAATGTTTTACAACAAACTTTGTTGATTATTTGCACAAAACCTTTAACGGGCCCCAGTTATCGGCAATCCACTGGGCTGCAATGCATACAGCTGCTGGTACGACTAACGGTTTGACCAAGAGGCAAGATCCATGGCCCTTCACTCTAGTCCAAGGCCCACCTGGAACAGGAAAGACTCATACAGTTTGGGGAATGCTGAATGTTATTCATCTTGTTCAGTATCAGCATTACTATACTGCATTGCTTAAAAAACTCGCTCCTGAAAGCTACAAACAAGCAACCGAGAGTCTTTCTTCCGAAAGCGCCCCTATTGGGTCCATTGATGAGGTTCTCCAAAACATGGATCAGAACCTTTTTCGAACTCTTCATAAGCTCTGCCCGAAGCCAAGAATGCTTGTTTGTGCTCCTTCAAATGCTGCAACCGATGAGCTGCTTACCCGTGTTCTTGACCGTGGGTTCATTGACGGTGAGATGAAGGTTTACCGTCCCGATGTGGCTCGAGTCGGGGTTGATACGCAAACAAGGGCAGCTCAGGCGGTGTCGGTTGAGCGAAGAACGGAGCAGCTTTTAATGAAGAGCCGAGATGAAGTTTACGGGTGGATGCATCAGTTAAGAGGCCGTGAAGCTCAGTTGTCTCAGCAAATAGCATCCCTTCAGAGAGAACTTAATGTTGCAGCTTTCACGGGTCGGTCCCAAGGATCTGTTGGGGTGGACCCGGAAGTTCTAGTGGCTCGGGACCAGAGCCGAGATTCGTTATTGCAAAATCTTGCAGCCGTGGTTGAGAACAGGGACAAAGTTCTAGTCGAAATGTCTCGCCTTTTCATTTTAGAAGGCAGGTTCCGTAGCGGAGGGAACTTTAACTTGGAGGAAGCTCGTGCTAGTCTCGAGGCGAGTTTTGCAAACGAGGCCGAGGTCGTTTTCACGACGGTATCGAGTAGCGGTCGGAAACTTTTCTCGCGGCTCACCCATGGGTTTGATATGGTTGTCATCGATGAAGCGGCTCAAGCCAGTGAAGTAGGAGTTCTGCCGCCACTCGCTCTCGGTGCCGCCCGATGTGTTCTTGTCGGAGATCCGCAACAACTTCCGGCAACTGTCATCAGCAAGGCGGCAGGGACCTTGCTATACAGTCGAAGTCTTTTCGAAAGATTTCAACAAGCCGGTTGCCCAACAATTTTGCTATCTGTGCAGTACCGAATGCATCCTCAAATACGAGATTTCCCGTCTCGATACTTTTACCAAGGACGACTTACCGATAGCGAAAGCGTTGCAAAATTGGCTGATGAGTTATACTACAAGGATCCGTTGCTAAGACCTTACGTTTTTTATGATATCACCCACGGTCGAGAGTCGCACCGTGGTGGGTCGGTTTCTTTTCAGAATGTACATGAAGCCCAGTTCTGCTTTCGGTTATATGAACATCTTCGGAGAAGTATCAAGAGTTTGGGAATGCCGAAAGTGTCGGTGGGCATAATCACGCCATATAAGTTACAATTGAAATGCATTCAGCGGGAGTTCGCGGAAGTATTGAGTTCTGAAGACGGGAAGGATGTTTATATCAATACTGTCGATGCTTTCCAAGGGCAAGAACGGGATATCATCATTATGTCTTGTGTGCGTGCATCGGGCCACGGAGTCGGTTTTGTTGCAGATATTCGCCGGATGAATGTTGCTCTCACTCGCGCCAAAAGGGCGTTATGGGTATATTTCTTTATCCTGGAATCTAACATTTAACTCTCTATATTTCTGTTTTAGTTTGTCCAAACTAAAGCATCCACTCTCTAATTCTATCCTTAATTATGAGACAGAGAAATTCATTACTACCTCTGTTATTAAGGGTAAAATTGTCATTTAGTTAATTAAAACGTCTAATAATTACACATTTCTAAAATTGTGGATGGTTGTATGTAGGTGATGGGGAATGCAAGTGCTTTGGTTCAATCAGAGGACTGGGCTGCTTTAATTGCTGATGCAAAGGCTAGACAATGTTATATGGATATGGACTTGCTTCCTAAAGAATTCTTGGCACCCAAGGTGGCTCAGCCGCCATCCTATGGTGGTCTGCCACCACCATACGGTGGTCCACCACCGCCGCCGCCACCACCACCGGCAAAGTTCTCTAATTCGAGGGGGGGTTATATGAGGCCTGGGTTCAGACACAGATCAGAAGATGAAGGGTATGGTAAAACAAACTCGACATCAAGAAATGGGATTTATCGACAACCGTCGGATGAGTTTGATCGATCGCGAAATGGATGGCAATATGGGGGTGACAGGAGACATAATTCAAATGGGGTTGGAGGAAGGAGAGATCATCCATGAATGATGGTGGTATGAAAATGAAAGTTTTGTTGTTTCTTAGCATAGGTTTGCAGTTTTATAGTGAATACCATAAGAAAGAAGTAGAAAAGAAAAAGATGATTAGTTGAGAGAATTGTGGTATACAAGATTTTGTATAGAAAATTAAGGTGGTTGGTTGGTTGGTTAAAAATTGTTTTACTAAACTACTAAGTAACTTGTTTCTGAAAAAGTGTATAAATTTCTCTCTTTTTATTTATTTATTTATTTATAGAGATTACTAACAGATTTTTTAAAATAAAGGTTTTTCTAATATATTTAGAAGAAATAGAGGAAATTATTTTTTTTCTGAACTTGAAAAATTCTTTAAAAAGTTTGTGTCGAGACGAGAGAAATGATTTTTTAGCATTTGTTTTCAATAAAATAAATGATCTAGTTATTCTAGCAACTTAAAACCTTATTTGTGGTTAGAAATGTTCAAAAAGACGGTTCCTTAACCAATCGTGGTCCCAATCCACTTTTGCATGACTGGTCCATTCGGGTCGAGGGTTAACCGGTCATTTGGACTATATATTGTAACAAATCTTTTTGAGTTTGAGAAGAAAAGAAAAGAAAGGGATAGAAAAAGGAAAAAAAAATATTTGTGTTTCTCGGAGGGAAAAGAAAGGAAGGAAAAGAAGACAAAAAGTAATTTTTCATATTCTTGAGCGAGGATAATGGAAAAGAAAGATGTTACTAAATTATTTTTTCCAGTAGGTTGTAGTTGATGGATAGATGTGTAATTTTATAAACATTTATATTATTTGTTTTCTTCCCTTCCTTCCAATTCCCACATTTGGGAAAAAAGTTTAGGGGGTGTTTGAGATTGTTTATTAAAGTTGTTTTTTAACTTATTTCAGTCTGCCACCGGAGATAAGCTGTTTTTTAGTGTTTGGGTAAGGGAAAAAAAACTGTTTATACCGGTGCCAAACCGGTAATAAGCAGTTTTTGATAAGTTAATCCTTAACTTATGAAAAACTGCTTATTACCAATTTACCATTTTAACTCTGTTTTATTAATGTTTGTTAATTATTAATCTTATTGATATAAATTTTGGTCAACAATATTATTATAAATGATGAAAAATAAATTTTTACATGTTAAAAAATAAAATAAGTTAATAATCAAAAATATTATTATATGGAAGACTGTCATTTTTGGTTATTTTACAGATATAAGTAAAATTTGCCAAACACTAAAAAACAACTTATCAACTTATTATTTTTTGGTACCGCTATAAGCTAATCTAAACACTTTTTACAAAACTCCGATTTAATACCACATAAGTTAATAAACACTTTTACAAAAAAAAAACATAAGTTGTTTTAAGTAAGCAATCCCAAACACCCCCTTAGAAGGAAAAATCACATTCTTTTACTTCCTTTTCCTCCTTAAAAGAACTCAAAAATACATCTTTTTCTTTTCCAGTGCTTCTCTTTCCCTCCTTCCTTCATAAAAAACTCGAGACCATAGCGTAACCGACAATGTTAACGGTCTTTATTGGATCTGGTTACATATATATATATATATATATATATATACATTTGAAATCGTGTGAAAATATAGTTATAGTGAGAATTGTAAGAATACTTAGGAGCCCTTAACATTTGATCTAACCTCATTTACCTTCATGTACCTTTATTTTCTGGGGTGGAGCCAGAAAATATATCTAGGGGGTGCCTAGAAAAGATATAAGAACATTCACGATTTCAAGGTTGAGGTATCTAGAGGATGCCTAAAAAAATATAAGAATATTCACGATTTCAAGGTGGAGAAAATCATTTGTTTTTTCAATTAAATACTTTAAGTGGTTGTAAAAAAAGTTGAAAAATATGAGTGACCTACACAACACAACTATGTTTATATTTATACAAACAAATACATGATGTGTGTAGATAACCATATAAATAAGAAAAACTCTCTGAAAATACATGAAATATATCGTAACAAATTGTGTATTCAATAAAGTAATTATTTTAGAACCGTTAGAAAACTTGACATTTATAAGGAAGAAAAAGAAGATTTTGATATGAATAAATAAAGTTTCAAGTGGGTAATTAAGGTTTGAGACTATATCAATTTTTATTTTTGAAGTTTGAGGGGGAGCCAATGCCCCTTCTGGCTTCAAGTTGGCTCCACCCATATCTTCAATTATAGTCGCTTTCACAAATTTTTACATATATTTAATCACTTTCAAATGAATGGATTTGTTAAAGTTTCGGTCATGATACTAATAGGTAAATAAAGCTTGTTGAAGGTATATAAACGTTTTATTCTCATGTTTCTACAATTACTCTTACTTTTATCGAGACCCACCTTATATACACATATAAGAGAAAGAGGGGGATCATACGAGAACGAATGGAGGTTATTCTTAACCTTATGTCTATCCCAATTTTAAAGATTTTGGTTTGACTTGGTATATGTTAATAGTTTGGAATAAATAATGGGGAACATAGTTATATAGTCATGATTTATAAGTAATGGCAGATTCATGATTTTTATTCAGTGGGAGCATCTTTAAGGTAGATTAAAGGTCTGTAAAGTTGCTCGATGTGTTTTTAGCATAATTCCACCATTTCAAATGATTTTTAAAGTTTTTTGATTGATTTCGAGATATTTTTTTAGTTTTTTTTTTGTCGATTTCGAGGGCTTTTTGGCTTTTGGGTTGATTTCAAGAGATTTTTTAAGTTTTTTGGTTGATTTTAAGGTATTTTTTTATTGATGGAACACAGGTGAAAAATTATTGGAGGGGAACTATGGAAGAAGGATAAGAAAATGTTCTTTAACCTATATAAAAGAGAGAAAGTATTTAATGAAACAACCTTTAATATATGTATCCGCTCGTGTTTATAAAATTGTATTATCGAATTATCACATATGACTTGTAAAAAGAAGAAATAGTGTAAATTAGGGGTGAGCATAGGCGGACACCCGCTCTATTAGACAGGAACAGGAACCGGAACTGACGGTTTTTGAGATATTGGAACCGGAAACACCAGGAACTGGTTCCAGGTACCCGCTTCCTAAAATATTAAAATTTTGTTATTTAGAAATAAAAAATAAAACATTGCCAAAACATTAAATAAATAAACAAAAATACAAATTATACGGAATAACGGTTACAAATATTGTTTAACGATTACAAACCATAATAGACTAATAGTAAATGTTGAAAGTTTAACAATTACATATTATAATTGTAAATGTTCAAAGTTTAACAATTACATATTATAATTGTAAATGTTCAAAGTTTAATGATTAGTTACTACGAATCCAATTAAACACACAATTTGAAAAAATACGAATCATTTTATCTCAAATTTTGAATACATTTCAACTTCTTGCATACCCACCACATTCTCAACCTCGTACGGTACTTGTGAATAATTGAGTGTTATAAAAAATACACAAACTCGTAAAAAACTGTACATATTTATAACTAAAAACTGCATATATTTTTAACAAAAAACTACACAAATTTTATATAAAAAAACTGCACAAACTTCGTATAAAAAACTGCACATATTTTTAACATAAAACTACACAAATTACATAATTTAGTATTAAAAAAAATATAATCTAGAGTTCTAAGTTCTTGACCTAATTTAAATTTAGTATTAAAAAAATTAATTATTTTTTAATTGAAAAATATCGGGTACCCGCCGGTTTCGGTTCAGGGTACCCGTCGGTTCCAGGTACCCGGCGGGTAACGGTTCCAAAAAATTGAGAACCGGAACCGGAACCATTCTCAATCGGTTCCGTATTTTAGGAACCGGAACCACGGTTCTGAAACCGGCAGTTCCAAGGCAGTTCTGGTTCCGCAAGTGGGTACCCGGTTCCGCTGCTCACCCTTAGTGTAGATAACGTGGAGAAGAGTTAGTCTATGGAGTCAAGAATAAATCTAGATATTTTTTATTTAGTTATTTAGTTTGAACAAGTCAGTCGTTTTTTAGAAGTCTTTGATGAAGTTTTTTCTTAGTTGATTTTGTTGAGTTTTTTCTGGAGCTTTTCTCGTCACTCTCCTCTATAAGGAGTTGTGACTTTCTCTGTTTTGTGTATCCATTTTTTTGTTTTTCTATGAGCAATAAAGCAACAGGCTCTAAATAGTCTTTATTGCTCATTCTTTAACATAAGCACTCTATATGCTTTAGGTTTTGATTACTTTTTGACATGGTATCGCAGCCCTAATAAGATGCGTATTGTTTCCGATAGAAAATTGCTCATAAAGTGTTTGTTGTAATTCCTCAGTGAAGGTGTGGTGCTGTTAGTGTGCTTTTTCTCTTCAAAGATGAATAACGAAAGTACTTCCTTTCAAGCTGCAGTTGAGAAGTTGGTGAGTGACAACCATTGTTATTGGAAACTTTGTATGAAGGCGTATCTTCAAGGGCAAGACTTCTGAGATCTGATCCATTGTGCGGAGACGGTAATTCCAGAAGATACTCCTCAAAATGCCGAGCCTCGACGAAAATGGCGAATTAAATGCAGGAAATCCATGTTTGCGGCTGCGGTCCTCGATAAGCAAAGACTACATCCAACATGTTCGGGAGATGAATTCACTAAAGGAAGTGTGGGAGACATTTGATAGATTGTTTACTCAAAAAAACACTATGGGACTACAAGTTTTGGAGAACGAACTCACTAGAATGGTTCAAGGTAATTTCTCAATTCCAGAGTATTTTGTGAAAGTTAAGACCTTATGTGCTGAAGTTTCAGAGTTAGATTCAGAGGAGCCCATCAGTAATGTATGTTTGCATCATTATCTTATTCGTGGCTTGAGGAAAGATTTCATGCCATTCATATCATCTGTAAAAGGGTGGACAAAACAAACATCCATCATTAAGTTAGAAAATCTTCTCTTAAATAAAAAATCTTTGGTAAAACAAATGTCCAACACTTCTCTCTCTCTTTCAAGAAGATAACGTTCTCTATACTAGAGAACATGGAAAACACAAGTCTCCAATCAAGCCAACTGGAAACGATGGGCGACAACGAGACAGTTCAAATAGGTATGGCAACGGGGCGAGGGATAGGTTAGGTTTTGTAATCCCCGACTCCAACCCTGGTTTATAATCATGGCCCCCGGCCCCGGTCCCCGATGGGTATGGGTATTAACACCCCGTCCCGATCAAATTATGGTCAAACCCCGGTCA